CTTAGTATTCACTCTTAGATATGTGCATTGTAGAGAAATAAGTAGTAGTATTATTTATTTAATGGCAGCGAGTGCGCATGGACTCCACTACGCCACAATGCAGGCTTGTATATGTGGAGAAATAAGTGCAACGCTACGTTAACTTTTGTATTCGAGTTATGCCCTCTTTCAGTTTCTAAATTTAGCACACAAAGCAAATTGTATGGGGAAAACGTAGAGGAATATTCATGAATAGTATCCTTTTTAAGTATAAATGTGTCGCACATTCCAGCACTGAACATAATTACATGTGTTGGCAAGAGAGAAAAGTTTTTTAGATTCTACTTTTTGACGTTAAATAAATTTTTTTATCCATCGATATTTTTTGATTGTGATCATTTTATTACGAAAAAACAGTTCTTACAGTCAGGCACTTTTTTTTGTCAAATAGTCTGTTTTGGTGTATAGTTTCCATTTTCTTTAGCAACAGTCCTTGCTGTAATACATTTTTGCTCCGTAAGGTTCCTCCAATCTTTGTGCCTTTATCTCCTTTCAGTTCATTTATCTTAGCTTCTAAAAAAAATATTTTTTCTGCTTTTTAGTGCATGCAAATAAATTCCACCATATTTTACGTATAAGAATGTATTAATTTAGTAATAGTTTGTGCATGTTCATAAGAATAAGGAAAAAAATTACACAATGTCTCAAAGTTGATATAACGTAAAAAATCTCGCATGTAACATACAACTTCTCTAGCAAACAATCTATCATAAAAATATATTGGAGGCAACCGGACANAAAAAAAAAAAAAACAAAACACTTGTCGATTATTTTTCAAAATTATACAAGACGGACCGAATGGAATTTTGCATGCAAAATGCTAATTGTCAAGTTCGTAGTTTTGGTAAATACTGATAAAATCAAACCTCAGCCAGATACTCTATTTCTTCAAATTTTCTTGAAATTACTTGACATGCAGAGTTTCTCGAGATAAAAAAAGTATTGCAAGTGTACGTGGAAACGAGCAAAGTTAAAATTATTATCTTTCAAATCGGAATCTTGACTCCAGCGAATTCTTAACCAATAAACTCTGTGGAATTTTTTTTTTTTTTTTTTTTTTTTTAAGTGTTTTCCTTTTTTTCTGCAATTTTTATTTTTCACCTTCATTCGCAACATACCTTGACCGCACACATGGATGCGAAAAAAAAAAAAACGAATCGAAAAAACAATAACCAGAGGGAATCTCACGTGAAATCTGAAATTCAATATGCTGCCGTGTTACACGAGCGAGAGACACGTGCAGAATTTAATTCTCGGAATGACATCGTTGATCTAGTACTTTTTTTTTTTTTTTTTTATAATTTCAGTAGCACATTAGCTGGGCTCAGCAGCTCCCCTGTGACCTACGATCTCTTTTTTTTCCCTTCCATCGCATTCGCATCCGAAAATAGGTCTGGTTATATTAAAACACGCGGGTGCGCAAATATACAGGCCGCGTCCCCAGTCGGTATTCGCCTCTCCATTTTTTTTTTTTTTGCCCCTCCCCCATCTGACCCATAATGCGATGCACATATAGTTAACCGACGTACACGCGTCCACGAGTGCAAAATATACAAGCTCGATTGCCACCGCTCCATCGTTTGTACAAGTTAAGTGTGGACACACGCGCTCGTACAGTCGAATCGTTGGAATTCCGAGTGTTTGCTTCGTCAAATATGATTTTTCTCCGTCTCTCGCGCAGTGACTTCCCACTGTCTAAATAATTTTTGGGGTTTGTATACCTTTTGGCGACAATGTAGACACCGTGTACTCTCAATGTAATTGAACGTTAACTTCTTTGAATAACGGCGCATCCGTTGAATATGGGTTATTGTCTCAACTTTATGACGAGTGCAACATGATTTCCCGAGATTTCAAAACGTCATTGATCGTTCGACGTTTATTTCTCCTCCTCCCGCGACACATATTACGTTGCTCCTCGAAGTTCTAATTAATTCTAAGCTCCGCGATATTTCATCGTTTCCGGATTTCTTTTTTCCCTCGAATGGGTGCAGCTCACTTTTTAAAATGGACCGAGGAAGCGGCATGTACGTTACGCGCAATGAATTGTTTATTTTGTTCTTTGTTTCCTCTGCCGTTAGCGTATTTTTCAACAGCATTTTACTCTTGAATATTTTGATGATGATAATAATGATGCCGTGTGGCTTGATGTGGTGGCCATTTAAGTAGGGTATCTTCGCAAATAGGCTGACATTAACCTCGGCCCACCGACCCGCGGCCACGGTCGATATTTTATCGCGCGCCTACACGTACCATAGTACATAACAAAAGGGTGAAATTACCGAGAACACGCGTGTGACGTTGGTGGTGGCCGTGTAGGTGTTGTTTCGATGCCGCATCGCGCGATCGCGATAGGCCTGTAATAAAATTACCCCCCTCCTCCTCGGCCCACCGAAAAAGCTGTTCACTATTATGACGGAGCAACAGGTATCTCTTTAAGCCAGACGCGCTGTACACGTGTATACACCCCCTCGTCCCAAAACCACCGACCTCTTATCGCGCTTTGGCATTTTACCCAGTTTTTTTTTTTTTTTTTTTTTTTTTTGCTATTGGGGTTTTAATAATACTGTATCAATAAAAATATAATAATGAATCAAATATTTTTCCAAAACTCTGTTTGAATGAGCAATATCCATCTCATTTGCTTGAATTCTAGGAAACACTATTAAACGCTCTTGCCTTTAGATTATTCATTTGCTGTACATTTTTGACATACGATAAGCACGTAAAGTTTTGCATAGCAGGAATTTTTCACTAACTTCAGCTCAGTTGAATGACGCTGACTTTGCAACTAACTGTATGAACCACTATCACAGTACTTGNCGCCCTTAATCCCTGAATTATGTAGCGAGTATTACGACTCACCAGTTGATATTATATAGGTCAAGTTTTTTATGCTGCTTACACCCACCACCAAAGATCAATCCTATATTGCAGTCGCCGATTTACGTACATACGATTCTTTGATTCATTGTATCGGAAACTATGTACTAGTTTAGGAGAACTATTTACTGATGAGATTTTGATGGAGACGATGTTATTCAATCTTTAATTAACTTGCACCCAAGTGGTTACTTGGATTTTTTTTTCTAATTCGCAGTGGTCATGATATTTCTACTCTTTCCAGGAGCGAATGGTCACTTTGAATTCGAGATGTTTTTTTTTTTCGTAATTTGAAAGGCGTCGGAATATTGAACATAAGCACAATAGTATGCTCGTTAGCTAAACATATTATATACTCCCTGCTTGCGATGGGAACAAAAATTCAAGCTCGAAGGGGGTTTGGTGCTTTTTGTAAGACCTCAAGCACGTATCCACATCGATTTATCAAAAACACGATAAAAACGTAGAAAAAAAAAAAAAGAAAAGTGAACGTTCACCTCAAAATCAAGGAGGTGAGGAGATGAAGGAGGGGGCCACGGTGTCTGCGCACAGCCCCAACGTATTAAACGACGACGAGGTTGATCAATATTTGTATGTATATACTTGTCACACAGGTGCTATTATACCAACTCACGCGTCTCTCGAGGGAAGCACAAAGGTGCCGCGAAATCCTCATCTCGAGAGAAACTCCTACGGGTCTTGGGAGACGGGGAGACCTTACCCTCCCGTTTCTCGCTCGGCTTGTTGTGTCGCGCAAACCCAATAGACTCTGCTCTCGTGGCCGCAGCTGTAAGAGAACGCCGGGAACGTTGTTCTCCTTGGGTAAAGTGAGCCGAGTGATTGCCGCTCGATACACCGGAAACAATCTACTTTTCTTCCCCATCCCCCTTTTTTCTCTCATTGTTTTTTTTTTTTTTTTTTTTTTTCAGCCTTTTGAAAATCCTTCGGGACTTGCGATGATTTACTGTTTCCCAACAGTATTTACATTATTCTCGCTGAAATCCGGAACGCAGGAAAAAAAAAAATGTTTCATGTACTCATCGGTAAAACTTTTCCCCTTATACGTATAAACGTCACCCGCTATATAATGGAATATGAAGCGCGTCGTGGAAACTCAAAAAAATAAGTACCACCCAGCGTCCTCCGGAGGTGCACAGCTCGATAAGCTTGTGCACGTATATAGTATACCTGTACCCGTGGAGTGCTCATCTCATTAAATCAAACGAGGTACCACCGAGAGAGGGTATACAGGTGGAGAGGGGTGGGGCTTTCAAATTAGCCGGTGCATCCGATAAATGGCAAAGCAAAGCTGTACGCAAAGTCAGTTGGGTCTGACTCGAGCGGCGGTTGCAGTTGTACGAGCCGACGAATTGGGAATGAAACTTTTTTCCCCTCGAAACGAGTCCGAGGAAACCAATTGTTTCCTCCTCCTCCTCCTCCTCCTTCTATGCTCCGGGCAAGGAAATTTGTTTCGGCAGACTCGCCCGCAAGGGTGTATACACGGAGCAAGAGCGATAATTTCGCGAAACGCTATCTCGCCGGCGTCGAAATTGCAATTGCACAACACCCCTCCCGGAGCGACGTTTTCGCGCAGTTATATTTGCATCCAGTTGGAGCTGCCGGTGTTTAATTGATTAACGATGCTCGTACAAGTCGTATATAACATATATACTCGGCCGCGAGGGATATTTCTTAAATACCTCGGCGAATTTGCTGTTTCAACGAAGACACGGTTTGTTGCCACGCAAATTCGATATTGCAGGTGATGTGTTCCCGACGGAGTTTAGCAGAATTTTTCGTCTACAGCCGTATAATGAAGCGATTCCGATGACAATAGTTGCCGGTAAGGGAGAATAAAAAAGCTCGATAGCCCATGTACACGTATTGTAATCGAGTCGAGCAGTGGAAACTCTTCAAGGTGTGTATTATATGTATGTGTAGGAAGAACAAACGTTAATTCGTCTCTTTGGGCAGGAGTGCCTCTGTGTATATAATATATATATGACGTAAGTATACATGGTATAGGTATATATAAATGGATAGGTGTTGCTTCTCGCTCGAGTGTGTGTGTATAACAGCTATTGGCTCAGTACATCCTCGAAGCCAGTGGTCTCGAGGCTCTTGAGATAGTCCGTGATGGGACTGTACTTTTGTTCGCTCGTACCGTCCGGCGAGGCCTCGCTGGTGTCGTTGTCCAGCTATAACGGAATCGAGGGATGAACCATTTGTTTTTTTTTTTAGAATTTCTCTGTTTTAAAATGTATAAATTGCGGTTGTCCTACCACAATATTGGTGCCGTCGCTGCAGTACCGCAGCAACTCTTGCCGAGTAGCCGAGTAGTTGGCGAATGGCTCGGGGTCCCCGTTCTTTGTTTCCTCGGCAACTTCGTCTGACGAAAAAAAAAAAATAATAATAATAAAATAAAAAAAGAGGAAGAAATAAGACCGAGAGCTTTTATCCGAGAAAGACCGAAAGCTTGCGCCAAGAGTCGGCTTGACGCGGGAGTTTTATTGAAAACCTGTCAGAGCTCTCGGGCAGACAATTGAAAGTTGTTTTTTTTTTTTTTCT